GGTATCCTCGCCCTCCTCTTTCGCCCTCTTAAGTGTAATATGCGTCGACTTAGCCTCCTCCAACTCGTCATACAGCGGCAAAGGGTTATTAAACACACTAGCTTCTGCATCTTCGTCGTCCTTTTTGTCCTGCTCCTCTCCAGTGTCTCCATTCTGTTGGTTCTGCTGCTTATCGTCCTGTTTGGACAGATGTGCCAGTGTTTGATACACTAGAGCATGTAAATACTCGACTTTGCGACTGTAAATGACGCTCGTGCCCTGAATTAGCAGTGCTGCCTCTGCGAAATTCATGACGCCAGGTTCTTCTCCGTTCGCGATGCTAGCGCCGTCCTCGGGATCGAACGCAATGTTGAGGTTCTCGAGTTTGTCCATGTATTCCTCGAGTTCCGAGGCCAAATCGATGTTCCAATTCTTGCTCAAGTCCCTGGAGAGAGAAGAGGATGAAGAAGGGAGACGAGAGGGCGGAGAAGAAGGAGAACGTACCGGATGGGCTGCAGCAAGTGCTGCAGACGCCCCTCGCTCATGCCCGAAGATGCGTACGACTGGAGTTGCGGATAGCGGCGGGATAATTTGAATTCTGTCCTAACTTGTGTGGAACACACAATGACTGTTGACGAGGATTGTTTAAAACAACATAATAAAAACAATACAAAGCATTTTGCTTTCATTATGCGTTAGCTGTTTTAAACTAAAATTAAAAGAGAAAAAGGATGATCGACGAAGTAGTGAGAATTACGGTTGTCTTTGCTACGCTGGTGAAAACTATATATTTAATCCGGGTATTGTTGTTAACGATGTCCCATGCTGCATTTCACTTTGGGGCATACCCACCAGCGTCACTGTTAATCCTAAGACAAGAATTAGCAGCTTCGAGCTGCTGTGTCCAGTATGAATAGTTCGATCACATGAAGACGCGAGATATCCAGCTCTAAACGACAAAAAAATCTTCAATTCTACTAAACTTACAGCGAGGGTTTGACTTTCTTTCGAACTCAGCCACGCGACGTATTAGTAGCTTCTTGTCATTTAGAAAAGTTCTCCTGTTCCGGACGAGCCGACACCTTCTTAAAGTCTTCAGTCTTGATTGGCTTGACGGCGTGTGGTAAGATTCAATAGTCGATGTGTCGAAACCATTCGGGATCGAATACTAGTAAAGCCGGTATTAAAGAATGGGCGATTTTACCATATACTGTAGTGCAAGTACTACTATTTTAGAAGTAGTACGTGTGTTTTGATGCCAAACATCTATTTTCAAATCCATGCGACTTCGATTACTAAACTAGTTAGGTGTATGAAGTACAGAAGCATCTACTGACATCTCGTTCGATAAATGTACAAAACAATCGACTGGGATTTTGCGGTGTTTAGTTCGGAGGCGTGAACATGGCCAACGGGTTGGTGGCGTTCTCTGGGCGTTGTTGGATCACGTCCCAATGTTCCTGGATGGCCGAGCCGTTCATGCGAAATATATCGACGACCACGCTCGGTTGCTGGCCAGCCGCAGGTGTGAAGTAGTAGTGGATCCAGCCCTGGCCACTCTCCTCATCAAAGCCACGAGTGATAATGTTGGCAGGGTAGGTCATCCCAAAAGCCGAGACGTCGCCGCTGAAGCCCTGAACCACAGCGGCCTTGCCAGACAAGAAGTCGGGATTATGCTGGATGTAGTCGTCAGCGAGGTGATCCTCGAGGAACGGCAGTGGCGTGCCAGACAGGAGGAAGCCATCGGCAAAACGATTGAAAATGGCCTTCTGCTGCGCAGGTGTGACCGGACGCGGTGGGTGGTACGGGGCCGGTGGAAGGACTGTGCCATCCTGGCAAAGATCGTCTGCAGTAGCTGTGGCGACGAGGATAGCGGGAAGAGCAAGGAAAATAGTCATCAGCATGATGATAGAAGTTCAGTTGTGACGGTAAGCTCAAATTTGAAACTGATCAATTTGGAACGCCCGTCCGTAGGTATTGGGGTAGTCAAAAGTTTTTGTGGATGTGTTCGTCGTAATTTACGGTATTGGTGTAATCACTTTTTCTTATGGAAAACAATTGGCAGTTCGCTGTGATTTATGGTAATAGGATAATCAAAAGCTTTTTGTGAGTGCATTCCGACACTGGACTGCCATTTGGCACAGCAAACTGACTTCTGGTACCGGTATCGTGCATGCTTACTGCCGTACTTATACTGTATGCACTGTTGTACTGTACGAATCGTCGGGGTTGAAATGGCTGAAGTCCGAGTTAACCTACCTTTCGCGAACCATTTAACTAAACTCCATGAGTACACTTGAATTTTACAAGCCCAGGTCACGATCTAACAGACGCATTTCCGCCCTTTTACTAAAGTACGATACGGTACTTGCTCTGGATTAATGCATGTACTTCTTTTAGCAAATCTTTGGAGATACTACATTGTATGATGATGCAATCAGATACCGTAAGTCAAGCGAGAGTTACACCGAACACGTCACACCTAGAGTGACTACATGTATGAGCACGACTGGGGTGCGCGCGGCGCGCACAATAGGTCTCTCAGCGTACCAACTGCAGTGTGGTGCGTACATGACTGAGCGTTGTCGTAAAAATACGAAAGCATCCACCACGATAGCTGAGACGTTACGTTTTGAAAGGCAAGAGCATTTTCCAACGCAGCTTAGATGCTGGTCATAACGAAGAAAAGAGAACACAATGCGCGAAGTTGGAGGAGTTTCGCTGATTGAATTTGTTTTTGCATCAGGACATGCGTTGTGCTTTGCATTCAGCTTGCTCTTCTATTAATAATTAGTGCCCTAATTCGTGTCCGTACTTAGCGGCAGCTTTGTGTTCTACTTGTGTTTTCAGCACGGTTTGACAGGAAATGACACTTTTTGAAAGTGCCAATCATGTATTCGATGTGCTAAATCGTGCATGAAATGCTTGACCGCAGTGCTTGGTGAAGATTTACGACTTATCTAGTGCGAAGTGCCAAAAAGTCTGCAAAGCACAATTACATGCCAGCCTTATTATTTTCTGTTGTGCTCTTAGCTTTACGCAAAGAGAACATGAGTTACTTGGCAGCTGTATGTGCGTCAAATCCTCGCTCTTATTTACGAAATCGACAAGAGGGGGAGAGCCGTGTCGTAGGCAACACAAAACCACGCCAGTAGTTTAAGACCCGCGTGAGGAGCACGAAGGCTTCAACCCAGGACCAAGCATGGCTAAATCCCGCTCGATCCTACAGGGTTAATGCGCAGGAAGGTTAGATTTGAGTTTGGGCAGGGAGATTGAATACCTTTCGACTCTTCCAGTTTTGGAGATTTACAGTCCCATGAGATCCATTTCTCATGGTATGGCAATATTCTCTGCCCACTCACTAAACACTACAAAGATCACCACTGGCGGCCAGCCGACCGCTTGGCTAGTGTACGCTTCGTGAGGCCGACTCCGGTACTGTGTACTCCGCCACAAGTCGCTCAAGAAGGAAAGCAAGAACGACCACCGCCGCTGCCACACAAGTCGAAGCACA